AAAAAGACACTGAAGGCAACAGCACCATGAGGCCCAACAGAGCAAATCAAATAGACAAGGCAAGAAACTAAAAGGAGAAGGTGAAAAAGTAAAAATAGTCAACAAAAGGCCAATAAAATGACAATAATAAGTCAGTACATATCAGCTATAACCATCAATGTCAATGGCCTCAACTCACCAATCAAGAGAAACAGACTGGAAAAATGGAATAAGAAGCAAAATCCAACAGTATGTTGTATACAAGAAACACACCTAGAGCAAAAAGAAGGCCATAGACTGAAAGTGAAAGGATGGAAAACAATTCTCCATGGGACAGGAGCCCAGAGAAAAGCAGGGTAGCAATCTTATTTGCAGACAAAGTAAATTTCAAACCAAAACTGACTCTAGTATTATTGATGTAGGACGGTACTGTATCACACCTCTGTGAATGCAAAACATCTTGTACCTGCTTTATGATACATAGTAGGGACCATGCTTTATCAGAGCTATTTTTAATGATATTACTCTAGAATGTTCTCTCTCCAGATGATGATTAAGATGTTAACAAAAAAAATGGTGCCAGGTACCACAAGAGCAACAGAACTTTACTGTTTTCTGAGTATCATTCTTTTCTTTGTTTTTTTTGTTTTTGTTTTTTTAATGGAATGTGCTGAATGTCTATAATTTTGTTCAGATGACTGCAGAATCTGGAAAAGCTGTTGCTGCTATTGATGCATAACATACTGCTATTATTAGTCTTTTTATATAAATATAAATACATATTTATATATATAATATTTGAATTTTTGGAAACTTTGTGCTGTCAACTTTGGAAAAAGTTATCCCAATTTACTGTGTTGAGTTGGCATTGTACAGAAATTGAGAGCCCTATTGGTCTAGAAATGTTAATTAATTATTTTTTTTTCCATTTTGTATAGGTGTAACTCAGTGTATTAAATATGTAAGGTCATATCTACGAACTAATAAAGTATTCTCTAAATAATGACAAAAAAGAATAAGATAAGACTACAAGAGCAAGAAGCAATTTAAATATGTTCAGAGACCATTTTCATGTTCAGAATTAAGGATTATTTTAATCTTACATCATTGCCTTTTCTCTTTTACTTTCCTTTTTAGTTTTAGTTCAGGATTCTCTATTTTTAATTTTCATACAGAGATTTCTTTAACTGAAATATCGAATAGTTTCTCTGGTATAAAAATCTATAATAGTACACAAGATCCTAATGAGATAATAATGTGAAATAGGAAGTAAAGGGCTAAAGGTGTAGGGAAAGTGGGAAGGGTGGGGGAAAGGTAATAAGGGAGAGGAAAAAAAATATGAGAAATTGAAAAAAATGGAAATAAAGTGTTTATAGACTGGGAGGTGAGGAGGGGGTGAAGGGAGGGCAGGGACAAGGGGGAAAAATGAGAATCCAGACATATCATGTAAAGGTACAGAATCCCAGTAATGAATGTAACTGTACTGTATACCTTGATTGTACCAATAAACTCAATAAAAAGAATTTTTAAAAAATGTGTTAAGTAAAAAACATCAGCTGCAGTAGGAATTCAACAAATCCATGGAGATGCACACTACCTCAGGTGACTTTAGGATGCCAGAATTATGAATCATTGAATTTTCTTTTTTAAAGTATTCTCTAGTCTTTAAAATTTCTTTGAGCATGCACTAACTACAGAATCTAAGGGGAAAATGTTTAAAGGAAGTACAGTTTGAAAGAATTTTGGGGCCATTAAAATAATGACTGAGAAGAATGTACAAAATGTGAAAACATTTTCTGATATGATAAAGGAAAAGCCTAGTTTTTCAAATGTCTTTTGCTGGGCATAGTGGTGCATTCCTGTAATCCCAGCACTTGGGAGGCTGAGGCAGGAGGATCATTTAGAGTTCAAGACCAGCCTAGGCTGCATAGTGAATTCAAGGCCAGCCTGAACTACAAAGCAAGACTCTGCATCAAAAAAAATAGGTCCCTTGCCAATATTACAACTATGTGAAATTATGTAATTTCAGGTAGTTATGAAGGATACAATTGAAAGTGAGGACATGAAAAGAAAATTAAAGTAACTGTTAAGGTATTTTAGTGTAATCAATGAAAATACAAATATTACAATTCAACACCACAGCTTCATTCAGTTTTTTAACTACTTGGCTACTGTGCTAATAGCAAATTGCAAACCTAACATTATATTCTTAGAGCAAAAAAGGAAATTGAGTGCTAAATGGACACTGTTAAGCCATTGCTTCTGAAGTAAAACCAGCCTTGGACAACTCACATCAGAAGTCATTTACTGGAGTTCACACTCTAAAACTTTCCCTCCTGCTCTGCTTAACTTAAATGACTTGATAACTGTTGTTTCATTATGAATCACAGATCTGATTAGGAACGTTCCAGTGCGGTTTTAAACAAAGACTGCCATTTTAGGTGTTTTTTTTTTTTTTTCAAAACATCAGGTTCCACCCTAATGAAAGCAAATTGTTAAGTTTTTGCCACTTATCTACTAGAGAGCTTGTACTAAGAACATTTTCCAAAATGGTTTTCTATGCTTGAGAAATTCTAGAGGAAATAAAATCAATTCCTCAAAAATACTTTTTTGAGCAAAACATATAGCATCTAAGGAAATGGCAAAATATACAAAAATCTAAGTGCAAGACCATAGATCACACTTCCAACATCCCACCTGTAAAGGTATCTGTGAATATGAGTATAGGTTTGACATCCAGGAATCTAGAAACAAAATTTGACCAAACTACTGACAATCTGAATGGGATCTAAAACATAAACCACAATGTCCCACTGGTGCCTTCTGCTGTTTATCTTTGGCTATCAAATTTGTACTCTCAGCACTCAACTACCCCAGCACAGTTTGGAAGTAGCCCACACTCAGTCCTTGTTAACCAAAACAAAAATAACCACTTTCTAAGGGTTTTAAGCAAACATTTCACACCACATATTCTGGCTACAGAACAGCAGAAATGACAGTAACTATTTCTTCCTCTCTTCCTCAGAAATGAAACAAAGAGCCCTTGTTTGCATGTGGCTCTCGCCTTAGCAAACAGGAGCAGTAAAGAAAAGAGTTCCTGCTTCCAAGACTGATGGAGCATGTGACAAGGTGTCACAGGATGCTATTTTGAGAAGAAAAAGAAACAAGCAAAATGACAAAACTTTAAAAAAAATAACAAAGGACAGATTTGAGCTTCTGAATTTTAACTAGAAGATTAGCAAAATGGGCTATGTAACCACCTACTGAAAGGCTTATCATTACAAAAGGGAACACATGGATCTTCCAAAGGACAAACTAGGTTAGGCCTTCTTTGATAGCCTGCAATTATAACCATTAGTAATCGGTATCACTTCGAGAAATGTTTTAAAAATCTAATCAGTAATCTAGATTTTAAAATAAAGTTCTATATCTGGAAGACCCTTCCCGTGAACATCAGTGCCTCGTTCATCAGCTATTGGTGTTTTAAGCTAGTGCTATTTCTACAATTCCTCATCACAGTCACAGGAGTTGACATGGCCAGATCCTAAACACAGTTCTTGAATTCCACGTCATCAAACTTCCACACCGCTGCACTAGTCTGAAATTCTGTGGAAGGAGAAGGAGAACGGGAATGGGAACAGGGAACTGAACGGGAATATGCCAGAAACCAACTTGCCATAAAGCTGGTAAAAGGGGAGGGGAAGCGGGGGAGGGAGGGAGGCAGGGAGGGAGGTGCTCAAAGAAGTAGTGCCCTACCATTGGCATCACTGCAACTCAATACTGTATGCTGGAACAAATGAAACTGGATCGCATCAAAATAATGAGAATTAACAGCATTTTCATTAAAACCCTCTGATAGAAAGGGTCTACTTTTTTCCTGCCACTATTTATTATTCGTAGCAATAGAAGTAACATCCATCATGATATCTCGCCACAATAGGCCAGAAACTCAATTACATATTCCTGGCAGTAAGGATTTCCAGTCCCTACTTACTTTCACCTTATATTGAACAGATGAGGACACAAAGAGAAGGGTGATGGCCAACACCTGGCTAAGGAGAGAGAGCAAAAGGGAAGTTTTCCTCAGGGTCCTCTCTCAGGAGTGAGAAATCAACCCCAGCTGGCCAAAGATCCCCAAGTTAATGGCTTCCCGACTTATGGTGCGGCAAAAATGCTGGACTCACAGAAGGAAATTCCAGAAGACTTCTGGAATCCTGTTTGGAACACTGGTTCAGCCCACAATGACAGCACCACTTGTGAGCTCTCCAGAGACAAGGAGCATTATGGAGTCCCAACGCACATCCCAGAAAAAAAGCACCGGGGGGGGGGTCCTTTGGAGGCATCGCTGGACAGCTCCCATTGTCAAAAAGTTCTCCCTTTCCGCCGGCCTCCCTGCCACTGCCACCTGCGCGCAGTCAGGCCTAGAGCGCCACAGGGAAAGCTGCTCCTTCACTCAGCGGCCCTTCGGGTACACGCAGACAGCTCTCACTCGCGCTCCAATCGTCTAGCCTCGCTTTCCCAAGCGCTTCTGATAACCACTGTATGGGGTTCTCTTCCCCTTCCTGCCCAGCCCTCCCCTAATGTGCTCTTGTCAGTGAAAGCGCACACACTTGCCCACACGTGGGTTTGGGAGTATTTGAACCCACGGCTGCTGAAAGCCCAACGCGGGAACTTCGGGTCGCCGCCCGGCAGCAGGGACCCGGTGGTGCCCTTGCCAGATCCCTCCCCGGGAAGCCCAGAATCCCCGCATCCAAGGCGGTCCCGGCCCCCGGGCGCACCCCTAACCCCGGGCTCCATTACCTGGCGCTTGTTCATCTTTCTCAGGTCCCCGAATACGTCCTGGCCGAATGAGGGGAGATGCGTCCCCACCGCGCCCGCGCGGACCATGTTGGGGGTCTCTGGGGGCCCCCGGAGGCCCGCCGGCTGCAGGTGTCACACAGCAGCTGAGGTCCGGACAGCCCCGCCCACAAGCTCGTATCCTTGAGAGCCACCTGACCCGCAGCTCGCTTGGGCTTCTGGGAATCGTTGTCCCGCGAGTCTTGACCAGCAGTTGGCCTTGAAAAATCCGAGAGTAGGAAAAACTACTTCTCCCACAATGCTGCGGGATGAGCTCCTCGGCCAGTGAAGACCCAGGGCTCCTCCGAAAGGCAGCAAAGGGGCTCTGGATCCTCGTCCTGCAGTTCGGAGGGAAGGTGGGGCAATGGGTGATCCCGCACATCTCAGGGGGAACCCGAGGAAGTGGCTTCTTAAGGGGAACGGAATTCCTAAGACTCCGCTCAGGCGCCGAAAAGACACCTAAAGCTCCCTTGCAGTCTCCTAACCGTGTATCTTGGCCATTGGTTAGCTCCTGCAAGGGAAGGTGGGGCTTCTACCTTGAGGGCTGGCAGTGCACCATCCCGGCGGTACCTAAAGAGAAGCTGAGGCTTGGGCGAGGCGGGAGTTTTGAAGCTGTCGGATTCCTCCTCTTAAAGAGTTGTAGGATTTGGATACGAGGGAGCATTTCTTAATCTCAGTGACTGTAGATGTATCAAAACTGGTTTTAACGGAATGCTTTTCTTTCCCCCACAAACCTTTACAAAACGTTTACTATGCACCTGATCCTATTCTAGGCACTTGAGAAACATCCGTGAAGAAACAAGCAAAAAGTCCTCTTCCTCATGAAGCTTACGTGGGGTAAGCATAATAGGTAAATAAATTCTACGGTACAGTGATGGTACTATGAAAAGAAGAAAAACAGAGAAGTGGAATGGGAAGCTCTGGAAGAAGAGAGCGTGTTGCAATTTAAAATATGCCCGAAACCGACTTGCCATAAAGCTGGTAAAAGGTAAGCTTTTGAACCCTACTGTTGACCTTTATAAAATTTTCCAAAGCAGGGTGATCCAGAACGTTCGTAAGTCCGACAAAGTTAGTCTTATTTGGTATTTGAATTGTTATTGGCCAAGAGTTCTGTTTCTTTGAATTCCAGCTTGCCCTCCATCACACTTACGTTATTAGGGGGGACAAGGAGCATTTTGGGGATCCCGTTAAAGAGAAGTTGAACTGGAGATATATTTAGTTTGGATTGAATGAGCACATTTATGTGGCTCATGATCATTTCCTGCCATCCTGGTATAGGAACGATTTCTTCTAGGAATATTGTTCACCTGACGTCATGATAGGAAGTTGCACTAAAAGTGATATCTGCTCAGAGAGTTCCTGCAGAACCCAGCCTCAGAAGATTGTGGGTAGAAGAGAAGCAAGGTTTAAAATGTACAGATTCAGGCCGGGGATTTAGCTCACGGGTTCGGTGGCCTGCCTTGCAAGCTCAAGGACCTGAGTTCAATCCCCGGCACCAAAAAAAAAAAAAAAAAGCCAGGGATTTAGCTCAGTGGTTCCGCCGCCTGCCTTGCAAGCACAAGGACCCAAGTTCAATCCCCAGTACCAAACAAAACACAAAATGTACAGATTCAGAAACTAGTCTGTGTTCCCAGGGCAAGGTGGGGGTGAGGGGGTGAGAAAGGGAACATCAGTACCCACCCGTACCCTGACACATGGAACATTGCTTTTCCTGCAACCTTCTCTCTGAGGAAGAAGGTATAACTTACACCATTTTGGAATTTGAAGACAACATACACTACTTTGACTGTGTTACTTTAACCTATCTACAAGTGATTCACAAGGCTGCCAGTTTTAAGAGATGACCATAACAAGAAAAGGTTCTGCAACAAATCCAGCTCCTGTGCAAATTCCACACACTTAGATCTCATGATGGAATAGGCATGATAGTAACTCTGAGTGTTGTTGATGAGTATAAAAGTTGAAGGAAAACTCTGGCAAGCATTAAATGAGAAACACAGAGCAGATTTTTGGGATTTGGGAGGAAATGTGTGCCCTTTGTCATAGACAATGAGATTCTTTTTGAGAAACAGCTATTTTGCCATTGGTCCTTGGGAGATCCTGAAATCCAAACTATGGGACCTCAGATGACCATGTGGCCCAAGCTTCCCATTGAGTACTGTTTTGTGATCCACCTAGATATTACGATGGGTAGAACCAGCAGGAATTTATTACCATGTGTTAATGGTATATCAGATGTATGTGTGGAGCATGTGTGTGTGTTCTGCTCAGGCAGATCCAGAAGGAATGAGTAACCTGAACAAGCAAGTGGCTCAGACTCCTTCAGGACTGTTGTATTCTCTCCTTCAATCCAAACCTTTAGTCCACTTCTGGGGATTACCCTATGTGCAGTTAACAGAGAAAAATTTCAAGTCTCATTTAAAATTGGATCTGAGGGCTGGGGATTTAGCTCAGTAGATCCGCTGCCTGTCTCACAAAAGCAAGGACCGGAGTTCAATCCCTGGTACTAAAAAATAAAACAAAAGTAAAATTGGATATCTGTATGATATGCTAATACTGCTTGAAACTGGAGAGTTAAATAACCTACAATCCCACATAGAGGTAATTCTAAAGAAAAATCTTCCCAGTTGACAGAAGTACAAGTGGTACACTGAGTTGAGAGTTGACCAGAAGTATAGGTCTACAGTGATTTGTAGAATTTTGCCAAAGATTTGATTGTATCATCAGAGATTTGAAAGGAATAGGATTGGAACGTTGGTGATAAGAATATTTTGGAAAAAAATGTGGATAGACCTCTCTGTACCTCGTATCCCAAGTGAATGCCTACATCTCCTACAAAGGAGGCTCTTAATAACCAAGCAGACACAATTACAGTATGAGTCAGCCTCTTTCTCTGGTCATTCCAACACTTGTTCAGTACACCCAAAACATAAGTGGGTGAGGTTGCCCATAGGCCAACAACATGGATTTTTCTCTTCCCAAGGCTGACCTGAATAATGCTACTGCTGATTACCTGTTCTGAAAATGGGAGAGATTATCCTTGTGCCCCAATATACACAGCTCCTTGGTTGGCCCAGCTAGCCACTTAGTCCCAGATTGATTACACTGGATATCTTCTTGTCCTGGGGAGAGCAGAGATGTATGGTCACTATTGTAGACACATATTCTACATATGGACATGCCTTCTCTACTGCTAATGCTCCTGCTAGCATTATTATCTGTGGACTCACAGCATCACTATTGCTTCTGATTAAAGAATAAAGCTCTTAGCAAGGAACGCACTGAAATTGGCTCATGCATATGGAATAAACTGCTTTAACTGTGCACTTCATCATGCACAAGTAGGTATCCTGATTGAAATGTAGGATGACATAGTGAAGACTTGACAGTGGCACTGATTTAGAGACAACACTGAAAGATTTTAATTAACTTACAGAATGCAGTATATGCTTCAAAATGATTACTATTGTATGGTACTGTTTCTATTACAGCATATTACAGGCCCAGACATCAAAGAGTGGAAGCAAGAATAGTTCCTCTCATTATTGCAGACTGATAACCAACAGTTTTGCTTCCCGTCTTGGCAACTTTTAAGTGATAAATTGGAGGTCTTATTCCCAAAAGAGGAATACTCCCACCAGGGGACCCAGCAATGGATCCATCAAATTGGCAGATTAAATGGCTCTCTCATCCTCTGTGGTTCCTTATACCACTGAGCCAGAAAGCATAAAAATAGCTGAAATAATTAATCCTAATTATCAAGGAAAATTAGATTACTGCTACCTAATGGGGCTTGGGATGACTATTTCTAGAATCCTCTAGATCCTCTAAGATGATTTTCATTCTTCCAGGATCAATGCAAAAGAATAATAGAAAACTACAACAATCAAAAAAATTACTGCCATGAGAAATTAGAGTCATTCATAGGAAAATGGATGCATATTGAGGCCATACTCTTAAGTGAAATAAATAAGACACATGTAAATACCAAATAGTTTCTCTGGTGTAAAAAACTAAAAGTGTAAATAAGATCCACATTGTATAACTGATAATGTGAAATAGGAAGAAAAGGGCTAAAGGTGTAGAGGAAGTGGGAAGGGTAGGGGAAAGGAAATAAGGAACAAGAAAAAAATATGAGAAAAGGAAAAAATGGAAACAAAGTCTTTGTCAATAGGGGAGAGTGGAGGGGTGAAGGGAGGGCAGGGGTATGGGGACAAAAGAGAACCAAGATCTGTCATGTAAAGTACAAGATCCCAATGATGAATGTAACTGTCCTGTATGCTTAAAAAGTACCAATAAACTCAGTAAGATAAAAAAAATTATTGCTAACTACTAAGGACTCAGATACTTCAGAAATAAATATTTTTGTTAATCCACCATCAGCCAAGGTTCAGATATGAAAATAAGGGAACCATATAGAATGAGTAGTGGAAGAAGAAAGTCGTATCAGCTTAACATGTCACCAAGTATAGAAATGAGGGCTGTGCTAAAGTTGCATGTTTTCTCTTTGGCTGTTATTCTACATTTCAATTTCTATAATATAACTCTTTTCTTCCCCCTTTTCTTCCCCTGTTATTAATTTACATGGAATTGTTAATTTTCTAGTTTAGTCTCTAGGCAACAAAACATTCAGTGGGACTGAGACTAAATTTGAGAAAGAATTAATATGGTCAGTGAGGCTATAATCACTAGGACTGCATACCTTGGGACCTCCTCCTTTAGGAGGAAGTAAGAACTAATTCACTTATTCAAAGATTACCTAAGTGATTCTTATTAGTTAGAAATAAAGAGTTGTTTTTTCTTGTGGTGTAGGAGTTCCAGTATGTATACAGGCATGCATTGAAGTTGAGTAGCTAAACCAGGACCTCTGCCAGTTATCAATTTATGGCCTCTCTACCCTTCTTTGAATCTACGCTTCCTTGCCCTGCTTTGTGATACAGAGCTGAACCTTGTAAACCAGCTGGCACATTGTTAAGTTTTATAGATGGAACTCAAGGGACATTGGAGAAGGAGGGCCTTTCCCTGGGTTCCTTGTGCTTTTTTTCCTTCTCAAACCCATCCTATGTGGATGTCGTTGGCATCTAGGACTCCCCATGCTACACACCGGCATGTTTCCACGACACCCCAGAGACTGGTTATTATTTGAGTTTTGTCAACAACATAAATGAGTTTTCAGTGGCCCCTGGGTGGGCAGTTTCCTTTTGTCATCCCAGCAGTTACACCTCAGAGAACTTTGCTATCCTGTGGGCCACACCACATCCTCTAAATCTAAACTTCAGCTATCAGGAGGAAACGCCTCTCCCAAGTTCACTCTTTGCTTGTGTGTTCTACCTCCATTCTGTTAGTAGTTCCTACTCTCTGTATCTGCTGTTTCTGTATGCTTTAGTTCCTTTATCCTTTCATGGTGAATCCACCGTTTTTAGTTGCTAGAATTATTAATTTTTCCCTTTAGAAATTACTGTTGTGATATATCTTTTGACTGAACCCTGACTAGTATAAGTAATCAATCAGGAGGGAGGCTGTTCCAATCACCAAACACACTGTCTGGCTTAATAAGGTTTATTGTTGCTGTTACTGTTTTAATTACACAAGTAACACATAAGCAGTCCCACTGAAAGCCCAAATAACATACAAGTGAAATTTCCCTTCTTCCCGCTCAACTCTCAGTGCAATCCCAGTCACTTCACACTTGAGAGCTTGCTGTGTATTTTTTCATCCCTAGCCTCTCTCCTCAAACTAATTTGTTTCCAGTTTTTTGATTTGGGAAACAATGGCTTGATGAGTGTGTGTGTGTGTGTGTGTGTGCACGTGTGTGTGCGTGTGCACGCACATGGTGTGTGGACTATAATGTTGGTGGTTCTATATGATAAAATTCCTAGAAATTGATTTTGTGAGCCACAGAGCAAGAACATTTAAAATTTGATATTCCTCCAGATGTGCTAAATGAATTTCTAATCCTATACAGTAGAGATTTGACATTATGAGATG